GAATAACCAGCGCTCTCTTCCACCTTCAATACCACGACTGAGGTGCCCTTGAGCAAAGCACCGAACCTGCTCCCCGGGTGCCACAGCATAAATGGCTGCCCACTGCTCCGGGTTGTGTGTTCACGGTGTGTGTGTGTTCACTGCTGTGTGTGTGCACTTAGGATGGGTTAAATGCAGAGCACTAATTCCTAGTATGGGTCACCATACTTGGCCACATGTCACTTCACTTCAGTGTGGCATACATCATCTTGTCAACAGAGGGCAGCCTCACACAGTATGTCCTTGATCTTGGCATTGAAGCGTAATAATATTGCATCTCTCTCTATTGCAGGGTCCCCTGTCAGTAACAGAGGAGTTACACTCTCTCAATTTTGAGGCCATGCTGATGTTACAGGGCCTGGATATTGATCTTGAGGTATGTTTTAGTGTCTATGTAGTATATATATCAAATACTGTATACTATTGCCATACATAATCAAAAGCTTATTTAAAGCTTAATTGAAAATCTTATATATTTTTGTCTATATTTGTGTGTACGTACATAGACACACACACACACACACACACACACACACACACACACACACACACACACATATATATATATATATATATATATATATACTGTATATACTGTATATGCTCACCAAGACAGTATTTATTTGATTATCAAATACAGTAAAAACAGTAAGATTATGAAAGGCTATTACAGTTTAATTTAAAATATTTGTTTTCTATTTTAACATATCCTAAGATGTAATTTATTACTGTAATGTTAAAGCTGAATCTTCAGCATCATTACTCCAGTCTTCAGTGTCACATGAACCTCCAGAAATTATTCTAAAATGCTGATTTGGTATTGATTTCTTTTTACTAGCAATGCTGGAAATTGTTGTTGTAATATTTTTGTGGAAACTGTTATACATTTTTTTCGCTCAGGATTCTTTGAACAGAAAGTTCTAAAGAACACAATTTATTTGAAATTGTATTAGACATTATTTGATCATTCTTATAATTGTATAAGACATTATAAATTACTCTGGATACCTGATGAATAAAAGTTTGACATTTCTTTAAAAAATTAAATTACTGACCCAAGTGTATAAATAAATGACATTACATATATTATGCTTTTTCAATGTTGAGAAAATAATAATAATAATTTATTATTTAGTTAGACCAACAATTAAAATTCAATTTTAGGACAGCTCTGTAATAATTTATATTGGAAATCACTGTGCTAATGTAATGCTTTTTTTTAATAATGATTTGATTTTTTTAATTAGATTTTTTTTTACATCACTTATAATACCACTCACTGAGTTTTGTATTTTTGTTCCTGTTCAGACTTGCTCCCTGCCACTGGTGGTCATCTCCAATGTCAGTCAGCTCCCAGGGGGCTGGGCCTCTGTCATGTGGTACAACTTGCTAACTGATGACCCCAAGGTGAGCTTCTGATGCAGATACAAAGAATGGATGTCTAGCCTTACAGTATCTTGTTTATAAAATAACTAGATGTCGTAGTTTTAATCAGGGGCAAGGCTGGACATAAAGTATTATTTGAACTTCTCTGACTTGTTTAGAACCTTGGATTCTTCAGTAACCCCTTGCGGGCAAGTTGGAGTCAACTCTCAGAGGTACTCAGCTGGCAGTTCTCAAGTTTTGCAGGACGAGGACTCAACAAAGAGCAACTTAACATGCTGGGAGATAAACTTCTGGGTATGTTTTCTATAAACTTGCTGGTTTATGTGACATTAAAATAATTTTATGTCATTGTCTGCTGACTGTGAGACTGTATTTCCCTAATGTTGTTCCATAAACATGCTGAAAGCCCAGTTTTTGTAAATGTGTTTTGGCTTCCATCTAAACAGTGTTTTAATTGTTTCTGAAGGTCAACACGCTTCTTATAATGACTGCCAAGTTTCTTGGTCCAAGTTCTGGAAGGTAATATTGAATAAATATTATATACTCTTGCTGTTTTCAAATTGTAACAATATAAATCCAATTAGTTTTTTTCCCTGTTGCTCTCAGGAAAACATTCCTGGCAAATCATTTAGTTTTTGGCTGTGGCTGGACTCGATCTTGGACCTTATCAAGAAGCATTTACTTCCTGTTTGGATTGATGGGTCAGTGGCCTTATTATGACATTCAGATGCATGATAAATAGATATAACACACATTAGCTCTGTTATTCTGATAAGCATGTAATGAATAACAAATACAACTACTGGATAGAATAGTCTTATCTTTGTGATGTTTTATCACTTTATCAGTATATTTATCAGTATAACAGTATTTTTATAATGAGATTTCTCTTTATCTGCTATGCTGAATAAAGTTTTTAGCTTGTTGCGATGCATTCTGCAGAAAGCATTTTCTGCTTCTCAATGGATTCTGCTATTTTTTGTTTCTCAGCTACATAATGGGATTTGTGAGTAAAGAGATGGAACGTGCTTTACTGAAGGAGAAGGAGCCAGGGACATTCCTGCTACGCTTTAGTGAAAGTCACCTTGGAGGAATCACCTTCACCTGGGTTGAGCAGGATGAAAATGGTTTGTCTACAATATGTCATTATACTTTAAAGGAAAAGTTCACCCAACAATGAAAGTTTGCGGAAAATGTATTCACCCTCAGGCCATTCAAGATGTAGATGTGTTTGTTTTTCCATTGGAACAGATTTGAAGAAATTTAGCATCACTTGCTCACCAATGAATCCTATGCAGTGAATGGGTGCCGTCAGAATAAGAGTCCAAACAGACGGCACCCATTCACTGCAGACATAAATGCTGAATTTATTCAAATCTGTTCTGACGAATAAACAAACTCATCTAGGTCTTGGATGGCCTGAGGGTGAGTACATTTTAAATAAATGTTAATTTCTGAGTGAACTATTCCTTTAAGAATAACATTCCCAATACAGAATTTAATGTAGGAGACATTATGTTACAGGTGTGAAGCTGTAAAACAAAGATAACAACATAAGAATCCTAACCAGTTCTTCCATGCAGTGAACAGTGTTCTGTTTGCAAATCCACACAGGTTAATCAATTACTGTAATTTCCACACTGAGACAATGTCTTGTATTTGCTGAGGGAAACTCCAGCCTGGAGATATTCCAAAATTTAGCAGATGCCCTTTATCCTTTTATAGATCAAATTTGTATTTCCTTATTTTCAGTGTGCAGTTGACAATGTAATTGTTCATATTAAATAATGCCTGAGGGAAAAAGCTGTTCTTACAGTATGCCTGGCTGTTTTGGTGCTCAGTGCATTTTTTTTGTTGCATTGTCTTTATTGTATTAAATATGTTGTTAAATAATCTTAAGCACATGTATTTTGCCTGCAGGAGACCCAAAGTTCATCTCTGTAGAGCCATACACGAAAAACCGTCTCAACGCCTTGCCCATTGCTGATATAATACGGGACTATAAGGTCATTGCAGATGGTGTTGTCCCAGAGAATCCTCTAAAGTTCCTTTATCCTGACATCCCGAAGGATGAGGCTTTTGGGAAACACTACAACAGCCAGCAAAACAAAGGTTAGATGTCTGCAAATGTATCTGATTTTTTATAATTTAGCTGTGTCCCATGATATTTTGTTTACAGCCCTGTTAATTTTTTTTTACCATTATGAAAAAAATATGAAAATTTGCACACTCAAGAAATAACAGGAAGCAGGGGCATAGGTTAGAGGGGGGGCTATTAACCCCTCAATAACCAAAACTAGCAAGTACAACCTCCCAATATTTATACCATGGTTAATGGAAACCTAGAATCAGGCTATTAATTAATTTATTTGAATCACGCCTTCAGCACTTTTATAAGCGCTTCCTTTACCGAACGGAGCAGTTATCAGCACAATATGACTGAAGTACATGAGCGGCGAGCGAATCACGGTATACTCTGTGTGAGTTCACCAGCGTGCTCGAGAAGTGTGATAAGATTTGCTCGAGCCATTCCTATCGTGAAGCTGGTGGTCAAATATGTGATTTATTTGAATTATTTAGAGAAACAGCCACTTTAAAATGCTATGGAGAAAGTCGAACAGTATCTAAAAAAGGCAAATAAACTAAAAAGACAGATAAAAAGATGAGTCTTGAACCAGCATATATTAAAATCTTTTTAAACTACTCATGACCACCTTTACTAGAATTTATCACGTTTTATTGTAGGCTTATTAATTGTGTAAATTTTAGTCTAACTTGTTGTAGAATTTATATTAGATAATCTGTGAAGGGAATTGATTTTTCCCTATAGATTTATATTACAACTGTGGCATGTTGTAGCTATTGGTTCTAATTGTGCAGGCGGTTGTTTCTTCATAACAAATGGTATATTGATTCATTTAAAAAAGTCATTATTGGCCTGGTAATGATTAATAGGCTAGTCTTATTATAAAAAATGCTACAGTTAAGAACTATACATGGCCTTCAGATATTCCAAAAGATGGCATAGATTAAATCATTAGGAGCCTGATGAACTGTTAAGGAGTAAGAAATAAACAATGTAATGTAAGAAAATGTTAAATTAGATTGACTTTCCATGGCATGTTGAAATAAAACATTCTGTCAAACTATAACCTATAAGTGCCTAATTAACATAAAATAAATTATAGGCTATATATATATAAATATATCCTGTAAACAAGTAATTGTTATCTATGACGTTACTTTATTGCAGTTATGTTATCAACCAACTTTGCATAGATGATAGCACAAAAGACCATTTCACAAAAATAAATATATAAGCAAACAAACAAACAAATAAACCTTATGAGTGAGCATGACCCGGGACTCTACTAAAACAGTTCACACTTCAACCCCCCCGATGTTCAAACCAAAGCTATGCCCTTCACAGGAAGGGACGTACATAGTCACTTCCCATTATCTCAATGTTTACATATATCGTATTGTTGACTCTATTCATCATGCTCAACCATAATGTTGTCAAACTCATTGTAAGAAAAACGAATGTATCTCTATTAAGCGCCTCTTTTCAGTGTGTTTTTTTTTCAGTAGTATTTTCCATTTGTTGAGGATTTTTTTTTTTTGAGTTTCAGGCCATATCATACTGTATGTGCCTGGTAATGATTAATAGGCTAGTCTTATTATAAAAAATGCTACAGTTAAGAACTATACATGGCCTTCAGATATTCCAAAAGATGGCATAGATTAAATCATTAGGAGCCTGATGAACTGTTAAGGAGTAAGAAATAAACAATGTAATGTAAGAAAATGTTAAATTAGATTGACTTTCCATGGCATGTTGAAATAAAACATTCTGTCAAACTATAACCTATAAGTGCCTAATTAACATAAAATAAATTATAGGCTATATATATATAAATATATCCTGTAAACAAGTAATTGTTATCTATGACGTTACTTTATTGCAGTTATGTTATCAACCAACTTTGCATAGATGATAGCACAAAAGACCATTTCACAAAAATAAATATATAAGCAAACAAACAAACAAATAAACCTTATGAGTGAGCATGACCCGGGACTCTACTAAAACAGTTCACACTTCAACCCCCCCGATGTTCAAACCAAAGCTATGCCCTTCACAGGAAGGGACGTACATAGTCACTTCCCATTATCTCAATGTTTACATATATCGTATTGTTGACTCTATTCATCATGCTCAACCATAATGTTGTCAAACTCATTGTAAGAAAAACGAATGTATCTCTATTAAGCGCCTCTTTTCAGTGTGTTTTTTTTTCAGTAGTATTTTCCATTTGTTGAGGATTTTTTTTTTTTGAGTTTCAGGCCATATCATACTGTATGTGAAAATGCTAAATGCATTTTTTTTTTTTATCTTTCACAGTTTGTCCTTACATTCAGACACAGTTAGTTCCAATTTCCCATCGGAAGTGAGTATCTTAATTTCTTTCACAACAAGATTTAATTTTATAATTAGTTTCTTCTCTGAGTTGCATGATTGTATGATCTGATTCTGATTTTTCTTCTTTCTTTCTTCAATGTCCTAAATTCTCAGTGGTCCAGTCCAAAATGCATGTTCCTCTCCTGAACCCCCCATGTCTCCTGGAATGTTTGAAATTATTACCCAGCACCTCAGCCCCTTTGAGTTTGAAAGCGCTGTAAGTAACATTTTAAACATCACTAATAAGCAGAGCTGATAAAGCATTATTCAGTCACCAGACAATGACATGACACTTTTTTCCTTGTTCACATTGCAGATGAGTTCACCCTAGAAAGGGCAACAGCCCCATTTCGCTTGGTTCCGAGATTATGGATGGATTCAAAGATTTTCATCTCTTTATTTTGGCTTCTTTTGCTGTTCTTCACTTTTCTGGCTCTATGCCACTATAATGCATCATGTCTCGATTTTCATTTGCAGAGTGTATATTCAAAAATACTGTCAATATAAAAATGCATCGGATGTATTATTAATGTCATAATTCTACATTTCAACAATTTATAAATGCAATATATAACTTGTCTCATCTACCTGTAAAATTCAGATTTGCCCAAACCTTAATCTGCCTTAATGTTATTCTCATTTTTATGTATATATTATGACAAGCATTTTTTTTTAATAAAGAATTTTATGGTTCAGCTATGGTATTATTATTAGTAGTAGAAGTAATAGTAGTAATAATGTGCACTCTTAAAATAGAATGCAGCATCCTGGCACAATGGCAAGGAATTGTGGTTGTTCACATTATGAGGTTGGAAATGTTGTTGAGTGGGCTGCATGCTGCAAGTAACATAAGGTTTTCACCCACATTTTTCCTGTCAGCATATGTGAGGTGTTTGCGCCGTAGAATCCAGTAATTTAGAGCTAGAAGTAGGAATCTAACCATGTTTTTCTTTATCATATGTAGATATTATCCTTTATAAACAGAAAACTTCCATTAAAGTCTGTGACTAGATGCGCTATGAGCCTGCAATATGCTTTATGTCAATTAAACATCAATTTTTAGACATTTTTAAAAACACTTTTACACTTCACCATGTTTTTGAGTTGCAAATATGACGTTATGTCTTTTGCATTTCTGCAACTAAATATGCTAACAAGTTGATATCTACGTCATTCGCTTTGGTTTGGCATACTGGCGTGGGGGGAAAATACTGATGTCTATAAAATGTCATCAAACAAAACAGTTGGCAGGACTATGAATCATAAGTGAATCATAAGTTGATCATAACTTAAGTTGAAATGAGTTTCGTTTCTGTAACAATCTAAACAATAGTATGCAATAAATTTTCATGTCCCTGACATATGTCTTAATATACTGGATAAAATATTAACTTCACTGTTTAAAAGGTAGTAATCATTTAAAATTTATATCAATATAATAAACTGATAGTTCATCCAAAATGTATTGTTATCAAGTCAAGTCAAGTCTGCTTTATTGTCAATTCTTCCACATGTACAGTACATACATACAGAGAATTTAAATTGCGTTACTCTCAGACCCTTGGTGCATACAGATAACACTAACAGTAGAGCATAAAAATACAGATAGATACAGATTAAATATAAATACAACTATACAAATAAGGTCAAATGTAAAAAAATATATAAAGCAGCACAAGGCACATGGCAGATAGAGTGCAAACCAGTGAAGTAAACAAACAGATATAATGATTTGTAGTGCAAAAGAGCTTATTCAGACTGATTAAAGTGACAAAGCTCAGAGAGTTTGAATGAAGTAGTGAACAGACCAATGCTGCACAAAGTGACTGGTGCAGGTCCCAGTGTGTTAGTGGGAGGGGGGAGTGGAAGGACCTGTGGATGTGGGAGCTGGCGGGGGGTCTGGGGTTCAGAGTTCAGTGGTGCATGGGGCAAAAGAGGAGAGGGGGGGCAAAGTCGGGAAGGAGTTCAGCTTCCTGACAGCCTGATGGATGAAGCTGTCCTTCAGTCTGCAGGTCCTGGCCTGAAGACTCCGCAGTCTCCTACCTGATGGCAGCAGACTAAAGAAGCTGAGTGTCGGGTGGGTGGGATCACCTGCAATGCAGAGGGCTTTGCAGGTGAGTCGGGTTCCATAAATTTCCTGGAGGGAGGGGAGAGAGACACCAACGATCTTCTCAGCTGCTCTCACTATGCGTTGAAGTG